ACAAGTTCCAGAATCAGAGCACGACGGCGCCTCGAGAGTGCTTGTTAAATAACATAATCTTCACAAGTTCCAGAATCAGAGCACGACGGCGCCTCAAGAGTGCTTGTTAAATAACATAATCTTCACAAGTTCCAGAATCAGAGCACGACGGCGCCTCAAGAGTGCTTGTGCTTGTTAAATAACATAATCTTCACAAGTTCCAGAATCAGAGCACGGGTATCTCTTTTTTTGGTTAGTCGTGGGGCTCGAGCTCAGGGCAAACCCTTTTCCATGACTTGGTGAGCCTGTGTGGGGAGGCCCTGGCTGCCCCTCCACTTTCTCACTGGCTCCAGCTGCTGCTGCTGCCTGAGCCTACCGTGCTGCATGGAGGTTTTGGATTTGCCCCCACCCCAACTCACCTCACAGCTCTTCCTGTGGCTGCATCATTCCCATCTCAACCCCGACTCCAAATTCTCCACTCGGCCTTCTTTGCCCTCCTGTTCAGTCCCCTAAAGAACGCTCATCAGTCTCTGAAAGTCATTTTAGGGACTTGTTTGTACGTGTGTTGTTGGTATAAGCTGGTTGCTGACCAGCCCCAAACTCTATAGACTGAATATCCCAAATAGCATGGCATTCAAACATGAACCACCCCTGTACATGCTTGTCGGCTCCATGTTTCTCTTGACTTTTGATAACAATGACTCAATATACTTGTCTGGCCAGTGTAAAGGAGGGAGAAAGATTATCCACCTTATTCCAGATATTTTACTGGTTAATGAAGATGGGATCTCTCCACTGAAATGCCAGCATACCACAGGGGACAAATAGGAAAACACTATTTTTGTGTCCTCTATAGTCCCCTCGTACATACCTGCAAAATCCTAGTTTCCTCAACCACTTGGACAAAATCACAAACGTGCCCATAAGTCTTGATTATTGTTAGATAATGAACAATTCTTTACTCATTTAGAGATCTAAGAACATTCTTGGTTCTCTCAAGCTAAAACTCTAGTCACCTGCTGGTGGTTTACACCTGTAATCCTAGCTACTCAGGAAGCCGAGATCTGAGGATTGCAGTCAAAGCCAGCCCAAGTAGGAAAGTCTCCAATTAACCACCAAAAACCAAGAAGTGGAGTTGTGAATCAAGTGATGGAGTGCTGACCTTGAGTGAAAAAGCTAAGGGACAGTGTACCAGCCCTGAGTTCAAGTCCCACTACCAACACAGTAAGTTAAAAAAAACAAAACAAAACTACTTTCAATGCCTAATCTCCAAAGAAGGCTTTTTCTTTTCCATTTCTTACACCATGGAAGTAAGGACAAACCAATTCTCTCAAGTCATTAGCGCTCACTTTTTAAAAATCCTGAAGAGAAGCAGTATCTGGGGAGTAAAGATGGCTGCTTTTCCCCATGTTTCTTTGCCTTTGTACAATGAGACTGAATTTCATTTTAGTATCTAATTACAGAAGACTAAGCTTGAGCTATTTGTAGCTCAGTGTTGAGAAACTTTTCCACTTGTGACAGCTGCCGATTCTTCCTGGTATGTAAAGTTCCTAAATCTCATCATCACCAGGTATTGGGACCTCAGTGGACAGATTCGTTTGGCCAAATTGTTTTCTGGAAGGCTTTAATAGCTCAAGGCTGGAGATGTGGATCAAGGGGTAGAGCTCCAGCTGTGAGCCAAGCAACTGTGTCAGCTGAAGGCTGAAGTTGCAGCCCAGTCCTGGCCTCACCAACGACGCACACGCAGACAGACGAGGCTGTACCAACCACACACAGACAGATGAGGCTGTACCAACCACAGCCAGACGAGGTTGTACCAACCATACACACACAGACGAGGCTGTACCAACGACGCACACACAGACGAGGCTGTACCAACGACGCACACACAGACAGACAAGGCTGTACCAACCACACACACACAGACGAGGCTGTACCAGCCACACACACACACAGACAAGGCTGTACCAACGATGCACACACAGACGAGGCTGTACCAACGACGCACACACAGACGAGGCTGTACCAATGACGCACACACAGACAGACAAGCCTGTACCAACGATGGACACACACAGACGAGGCTGTACCAACCACCCACACACAGACAAGCCTGTACCAACCACACATACACACAGACAGACGAGGCTGTACCGACCACACACACACAGACGAGGCTGTACCGACCACACACACACAGACGAGGCTGTACCGACCACACACACACAGACGGGCTGTACCAACGATACACACACAGACGAGGCTGTACCAACGACGCACACACAGACGAGGCTGTACCGACCACACACACACAGACGAGGCTGTACCGACCACACACACACAGACGAGGCTGTACCGACCACACACACACAGACGCTCTGGCTTCCCTGCCCTTGCAGAGCTGAATATTTTCATTAAGGTATTTCAATATTTTAATGTAATTAGGATTTTAATATTATGATGAGTCATGACTCTCCCCGTCCCGTCTCCCCGCCTTTACACTGCTGGCTTCCTGGTTTGGGACTAGACTGCGTAGGGGGACGGCCACCAGCCTCCACGGCTTTAAAGCGGGAACAGCCTCCATTCTGAGATTTAAACCTCCAGTATCTCACGTTAGAGATTTGTGGCTTAGCATCAACATTGTTAATACTCGTGTTTTCTTTTTACAGTGATTCTTTGTGTAATTGGAAATACTTTATACTTGTCTGATGTGAGGACGGGAAATTTATTTATGGAATGTAACATACATCTAGCCAATTGCTCAGAGACGTGTACAGTCATCTACTTTCTTGGTGATTTTTTTTTGGGGGGGGTCTGGTCATGGGGCCTGAACTCTGGGCCTGGGTGCTGTCCCTCAGCTCTTCAGCTCAAAGCTAGCGCTCTACCACTTGAGCCACAGCGCCACTTCCGGCTTTTTTCTTTTTGCTTATGTGGTGCTGAGTAATCGAACCCAGAGCCTCAGGCATGCAAGGCAAGCACTCTACCACTGAGCCACCTTCCCAGCCCCTCTTGGTGATTTTTGATATACTTGGAGATTCATTAACTTTGTATTTTAAAAACACAAAAGAATTGTTTGAAAGAAATGCAAGGACATTTGGCAACATGGAAAAAGAACACTACGTTATCACCATGTTACATTTATTTTAGAAATGCAAGGTGACAGACTCAAAACCAATTATATATAAGCTGGGCACAGGTGACCCACACCTGTAATCCTAGCTATTCGGGAGGCTGAGATAGGGAGGATTGTGGTTGGAAGCCAGAACTAGCAAAAAAGTCTGTGAGACTCCATCTCCAGAATGCCAAACATGAGCAGGAAAGCTAGGTGAGAACACTGGACCTTGAGTTCAAGACCTAAACAGGTTCTCACAAATAGAGAGAGAGCGAGAGAGCGAGAGCAAGAGAGAGAGAGAGAGAGA